CTCTGCAGTTATTCCTTCTGGTTTATCTGCATGAAAGTGTAGGGCCATCTGGTCAGCCAGCAGTTGCCCCACCTGCTCTGGTCCTCCAGCCATGCCATCTTGCCACAAGTCCTTTCCCACCCCCCCAACTGCCAATCTTTGCCCCTCCTACCGGTCTGGATGAATACTTCTTGTTTAACTCCTTTGTTTTTGAACTTCCATACAGTTTAATTTTCTGGCAGTTCTGTTTATTTTATGTTTTTAAATTTGGTGTTGTCTTTCTTTTGGTTGTACGAGGAGGCAAACTATACTTACCTATGCCTCCATCTTGACCAGAAGTCTGTTCATTTTAAGAGAGAGGGTAAGGGAGAGAGAAAGAAAGAGAGAAACATCGATGTGAGAGAGAAACACCAATTGGGAATCAAAATTTTCACTTTGAAGGACAACTGCCAACCAACTGAGCTACACTGGTCAGGGCACCGCACTGTCTGGATTGCTATATCTTTAGATTAAGACTTGAAACAACATCATGTGACTCTTCCTACCTTTTTTAAAAAATAAAACATGTTCTGGCTATTTCTATCAATTTCTGCAAAAGAGGCAGCTGGGATTCTGATAGAGATTGTGTTGTATCTATAGATCAATTTGAGCAATTTTGCTCTTTTAACAATATCAAGTCTTCAAATACAACAGTGTGAGACGTTTTTCCATTTTTAAAATCTTTCATTTCTTTCAATAGTTCTTTGTAGTTTGCAGAGTACATTTTTTTGTTAAATTTTCCCTACATACAGCTGATTTTGGTTATTTGCAGTGCTTATGTTACAAAGTTGCTGCCAACATTGAATTAGGGAAAACAGAACTACGGCCTCTAAGGGAAATACAAAGTTAAATTTTTGTGAACCTCTGGTCACATGTTTATCAGTTAAAATGCCATTTGTGTACAGAGGTTCATTTGCTGGTGTCCTTGTAAACAAGCCGGTCTCAGCACCTTTGAAAACCTGCCCTTTCACATAACCTTCTTCCTGTACAACGCTTAGCAGATACTTAAAACTTCTTCCACAGCCCCCTGATCTGCAGAGCCTGCTTTGCCCTGCAAGTTTAGCAAGTTAAGGCAGGAGGCTTAGACTCTAATTCCAGTTCTCATCATAACTAGCTATAACTTTGGGCAAGTCACTTAGATGCTCCACTCTCAAATTCTAAAGAAAATAAGACTGTGGATAAGACTATCTCCACAGTTCTGCCCTGGCTGGTGTGGCTCAGTGGATTGAGCACCAGCCTGAGAACCAAATGGTTGCTGGTTTGATTCCCAGTCAGAGCACATGCCTGGGTTGCAGGCCAGGTCCCCGGTCGGGGCCCTGTGAGAGGCAACCACACATTGATATTTCTTTTCCTCTCTTTCTCCCACCCTTCCTTTCTGTCTAAAAATAAGTAAATAAAATCTAAAAAAAAAAAAAAAAAAAAAAAAAAAAAAAAAAAAGGCTATCTCCATGGTTCCACTCATTCTAGAGCTTAGTATTAAAAAAAAAAAAAAAAAATTGTATAGTAATTTTAAAGCCCACAACACCACCTGGTGGTCAAAGAGAAAAGGACATGCTCAGGAAAAAAACGTTCATAGACTGTTCAGCTACACCTGTGTTTTGCTCATTTGAATAAAAATTCACATTTTCAAGAAAAGTTCACATTTATCCCTGAAGTGGCTACACACAAGTACAATACTACATGTAAAAGCAGACATGCAGGTCATTATGTTTAAAATCACACCCACCCTTCATGGAATCCCTTGTGTACATAAAAACTCTAACCCTTGATTAGTCATCATTAATCAGCTATTATGCTTTGGTAAAAACAGAAAATCATATTTGACAATTAAAACAATTACATAAAATAAACATATACTTCATTGTACCAAAGATTTTTATTATATTAAAATTATTCATTAATCATACATATTTGGGCAAGAAAATAAATGATGGTATTCAATTATAACTCCCAAAATACAATAAATATCTGTGAGTCTCTATCTATGTAAACACATCGTTGAATAAATGAATCAATAAGAAAACAGACAGCTCTTCTTTACAAGACAGTTCCTAACCAATAATTATTTTAAAAATGAGAGAAATTAGTTCTGGCTGGCATGGCTCAGTGGATCAAGCACCGGACTGTGAAGTGAAGGGTCACCGCTTCAATTCCCAGTCAGGGCGCATGCCTGAGTTGGGGCCAGGTCCCCAGTAGGGGGCGTGTGAGAGGCAACCACACATTGGATGTTTCTCTCTCTTCCTCCTTTCTCCTCCCTCTAAAAATAAATAAAATATTTTTTAAAAATGAGAGGAATTTTAAAAAGTCACCATTAGATCACCATTGTAACAATTGTTACAGGCAAGATCTGTCTCTGTATACTAAAATTATATTGTATAGGTAAAATTTTGAGGAGAAACAAGATAATTTCATACATGCAATATCTCCCCCATGATGTTTGTTAATTACAAAAAAAAAAGATAGTAACTTTATACTATCTTTCCTCTACAACAGGAAAGATAGTTTATCACTATATTAATATCACCAATTAATATCACTATAAATAAGACATAAATTGTACATGAAATTGTATATGAATAAGACATAAATTGTATATTAAAAAGTACATAAATTGACAATGTGTGCTTTTTAATAGGACATACTTTTTGTTAAGGCAAACTGTTTTTGCATTACAAAGATTCCTTTTCTCTGTAATGATTTTAGAAAGCTTTTTCTCTCTTTTTTTGCATTTTTAAAAAAAGTCATTAAGCTTTGTGAGACTTAATATTATAGATAACAAATGTAAGATAATCCAAATGTGTTTAACTTTCATAGTTATTCACCAGGAATATAGGTCAATAAGGAAAAGAGCACCTCCCTGAATATCTTTGACCATCTACAATGAACTCTCATTTCAGTCAAATTAACAGAAATGTTATTTGAAATTCATTATATTTGTAAGGAGGAAGAAAATATTCAAATCCCCTTTTGATGAAAGGAGAGGAATTTTTTTGCTATTTTGACTAAGCTACCTACAAATCGGTTTCCATACAAACCAAAGCCAAGGATAGTATGAGATGTATGTCCAAAAAGCATCAAAGAGCTGCAAGCAAAAGAAGAAAATAGAGAATACGCTTTCTTTTCAAGTCTCTATGAAATGCATATGAACGTTTATATTTATTTATTAGGCCAAAGAGAAAATATCTATTTCAAAAGGTAGAAATATTATATTTTCTTTTTAAAAAATAATTTATTTACTTATTTTTTAGATTTTATTTATCTTTAGAAGGGAAGGGAAAGCGAGAGGGAGAGAAATATCAATGTATGGTTGCTTCTCATGTGTCCCCTGCTGGGAACTGGCCTGCAACCCAGGCATATACCCCTACTGGGAATTGAACCGCGATCCTTTTGTTCTCAGGCCCATGCTCAATTCACTGAGCTACAGCAGCCAGGGAGAAATATTATATTTTCTGATTACAATGCAATAAAGCTAGAAATTAATTACCAAAACAGAAAAATGAAAAAGTTTCCTCATCCTAGAGATTAAAAAATTATATTAAGTGATGGTTTGAGTCAGAATCAAACCTTACGAGATGGAATTAAAGCATAAGAACAATGGCTAGCATCTGTGGTGTCATTACGTCATCAAGTAGAAGAGGTGCTTCCTCTTTACGTAAACAGCAGACCAGCACTGCTGTGTCTGCAGACGGTCACCGTGTGATGGCTCTGAGCCCAGCTGGCTGGAAGATGAGCAGGGCGGCTCAGGGACGCTGAAGCAAAAGTGAGTCGGGAACTGTGAAAGAAAAAAAAAGTTTGTTTCCCTAAGGAAATAAAAGAAAAACAAAACTAGTAGAGTGTAAGTTTTCCCCTAAGATTGAAAGCAAATGTCTAGTTACTAAAATGCCTACTAGCAAGATTTTGAAGGCCAAGAAAAAGTCTCACATAAGGGATGTGTTCTTTGAACTTAATGTTCTCAAGGGAGCTTCAGTTACTTCTCAATAATCCACTACAGGGTTTTAGCTGTTTGAAATGCTTTAGATAAATTACGCCATTTTAACAAGTTCTTGTAAAAAGCAATGATTAAAAAGTTTTATATCACCTGATGTAAATGACTCAGGAGCAATCTCACTAAGCCTGCATTTGAACCCAAGAAAAGTTCCATTTGTAATTGTGTTGTTAAGAACCATTCAAATACTCTCTTCTTTAGAATATTTTTGAATGGAACTATTTCCGACATTATTTCCTAAAATCACAAAAATATGCAGCCCTCTGGGGGTTCTATTTTGTAAGGATAACTTCCTATTATAGTAGCATCTCTCCTCCAGTGGAAGCAGTAAAGTCTCCAAGTGTTACAAAAGGTTAGGGACGGGGGGGGGGGGGGGGTAGGGTGGAGGGGAATGAAGGAGGGGAATAGAATAACCGCAACAGCATAATCAATAAAAAAATAAATTAAAAAAAAAAAGGTTAGGGAAACTCACCAGGCAGGACTTCTCTCAGCCCTGCACCTGGGTGGTAGAAAAACACAGCAGTTAAGGTTGGGGTTGTGGGTGGTGGGAAGGTCACTGAATACAGTTAGAATGAGCTTAACAAAAACCTGGAGATCCTTCTGGGGTGAGGAGTAGGAGTAGCTCAGCACTGATTCTGATGCATAAGTCACTGAGCAGGGGTTTCAGTTGTGACACAAAGGAAACAGAAGCTGGAGGTGACCACAGGGAACAGTGACAGAATAAAGACCTGGTTGCTAGGGTCAGGGAATAAATACCAGGAGCCTGGAGAACAGGTGGGGCCTTAGCTCCTGGTCCCCTTTCCCACCTTCCTTCCCCAATAGGTTGTCTGAAATGTCACTTTCCACCTAAATATCATCTGCCTGGTATCAGACTTTAACTCTGGTTTCTGGCTTCTGCTTAGTTCCCATTTGCACGGATAACCATCACCTTCCTGGACTCTCTAAGGTTTCCTGCTTTCTTTGTGCCCTGGTTACCCACCCTACTGACTCAGCTGAGATGGAAGTGCCCACCCTCTGAAACTCTTAAACCTACTCCTGATCTCAGTCAAGAGTCTTTGGACCCTAAGATTGTCATTGCCTTGTTTGAAAGTGGATCACTTCTCCCTGTCTCCTGGAGTTTTCTCCCTTCCTTAAATAATAGCTACCATCAAGAAATCCAACAGCAGACTGCAAAGAAGTTTGAAAATCTCTTAAAAGAAATGAAAGATTCTCTTAAAAATATGACAAATTATGAAAAGAAGTTTGTAGAAATAAGAGAATCTTCTGAGGAAACAAATATCTCTGAGACTGCATCAGAACTTGAAGAAAATATCGTAGGACTTGATAAAATAAATGAAGTGCTATTGAAAAGCCTGCTTGGCTGTTCAGACCTGGATGAAGAACAGAATAAGAAACAGGAGATGGTGTTGGAAAACCAGAACTCAAAGGATGTGGTACAAGGTTTGGCAAGAGATTTGGTAAATCATTCAGAAGTAAAAGGAGCTGTAAATGAAACTCAATTAAGTAGGGGGAAAGCAGAGTACAGATTCCATCACATTCAAGAAGAAAATATCAAATTTAGGAACAACATGGAGCGGTTACTACAGGAAGCAGAACACTGGAGTGCGCAACATACTGAGCTTAGTGAACTAATAAAGTTGTATCAGAAATCTCAGAATGACATAAGAGTAGCCCTTGAACGCAAAGGAGTCCATTTCCAAACTCATCTGAATGATCAGGTGTCAGTTAATCAGGAACTGGAGGAACAGGTGAGGAAACTGAACCGTGGTGCGTATTCATTACATTTGATTGCAGCTTTGCTGGAGAATGAATGCCAAATCTTACAGCAGAGGGTAGAGCTTCTCAAGGAACTCTATCATCAGGAAGATGCAACTCTGCAAGAGAAGCCAATGTGCATAACCTATGCACAGGACAAGAAAGAACAGAAGCCATTAGAAGCAGAGAAGGTAGAAAGGTATAAGCAGAAAATGCAAGACCTGGAAGGTACATTTCAGAACAGAGTCAAGTTCCGTAGAAGCCTGGATTCTTGTCGTAATAAGAAAGCTCGTAATAACAGATTCAATACTCGTCTTGCAAGAGCTCTTCTGGGAAAAAAGTGGCCAGCAGTCTAATATAGAAAATACCAAAAGTACAAAAAAAGGAAATTCTTCAAAAAACTCTAAACATCCAACTGCAGGCATCATCAATCATCAAATCTAGGGTAGATCTTTTGGTTCAGCCAAGAAAAGAGCTATAGAGCAAGAAAATTAACATATCTACCACCTCAGTAGTTATATAAGTTTGGTCTTTTTATGATCATTAGTGTCAACATCAAGTACATAACTTGTCATCATTACAATCTGCTTGTTTTGTAGTTATTAGGTAGAGATTCTATGACACGTTACTAAAAATCAGTTACGAGTGCAATAAATATTTAAATAAAAAACAAGAACAAACAAAAGAAAGTTTTGGTTTTTGTTTTTTCTAAATCATAACCTGGAATGGGGGTATGGGATTCTGCAGAAAAAAGTATGTAGCACCTTAATAATGAATCTCTGAAGTTCACTTTCTAAGTGCATTTCCCTTTTTCTTATTTTCCACTGAAGTGTGGGAAGTGCTGGAATAAAAAATAAATAGCAGATAAATCACCATTACACAGCCTTTCCCTTAGAAATTTCTCCATCCCCTAAATCTCCTTTTTCTTAATATAGCTTTCTTGCTCCTCAGCTAGTGAGTGGTGGGTATACCAGGCAGCAGAAGCCCTTGGAGAAGAACACCTGGGCTTGTTTACAATAGACGTGTGTCTAGGTGTTGTTCAGCGCTGGAGAAAGTCATCCCCTTCCTCCAGGTGGAGACAATAGAATTACCCAAGGCAGCAAGCAATATCTTCTGTTAAGGAAGCTGGACTTCTGGTTCCAGAAAAGATGGAGCAGATACATTTCTCCCTATTCCTCCCATTAAGCAAGCTAAAAACACTGAACATGTGTATAAAATGATCCACAAGGCTCCGAAAGATGAAGAGAAGAAGGGCTGACCAGGGACCCTGTATTTAAGGAACAGTATGGTGTTGAGTTCCCTGAGTTCTCTTTTGGTCTCTTTTATACCCTGAATAGAGTGCTGGAGGAGCCCAGCACACAGAAATGCCAATGCATTTAAACACAATATACCACCCCACAAAGCCTCCTTTCTCTTGCCAAAGGATGAGGAAAGGGACAGCAGGACAAGACAAATCTTTGAACAAAAACTGCCCTGCTCTACCTAAACTGCCTGGGAAACACCACGCCTCCATCCTCATCCCCATCATCAAATAGTGGAGAGCCTGGACTTGACCGGTGCCTGGCGGTAACGAGGCACCCCCCACTTTCTCCTGGGGTGGTGCAGAGGAGGCAGAGCAGCGTTCTGAAGTTCTACCACCACCTGGCTGTACAAGGTACTCCCTGACCCCCTGACCCCAGTGGGGTGGACTGTCAGCGAAGGCCACACGGCTGACCTAGATTTCTATACCCCTCCCCTGTAGGCACAGCACCAGAGGGAGCCTGGGAAAACAGAGGATTTAAATAAGATGCAGGGTGTCATAACATAATGCTGAAGTGTCCGGGATACATTAAAAAAATTACCCACTATACCAAGAAAATCTCAACTTGAATGGGAAAAGATAACAGATGTCAACCCTGGCAGGACACGGATGGAGTCATCGAACAAGGATTTCAAAGCAGTCATAAAAACACTTTATTGAGCAATTACAAACACACTGGAAACAAATGAAAAAAGAGAAAGTTGCTGTAAAGATACAGAAAATATGGAGAAGAAACAAATGGAAATTGTAGAATGTAAAAAAAGTAAAATAAACTCACTGGATGTATGCACTGATAGAACAGTGATGTCAGAGGAGAGTTCATGAACTTAGGAATTTCCCATTCTGAACAACAGAGAAAATAGGCTGAAAAAGAAAAAATTGAGTCTTAAGAACCTGCAGTAACAAAGATCTAACAATGGTGTTTTCAGAGCCACCCCCACAAAAAGGGTATAATGTGGGCTGAAACAGTATGCAATGAAAAACCAGCTACATAGTCTCCAAAGTTAGTGAAAGGCATAGACCTAGAGGTTCAAGAAACTGCCTGAACTCCAAAAAACATAACCTAAAAGAAGTTCAAGGCACTCAATCAAATTTCTGAAATCTATAGACAAAGTAAAACTCTTGAAAGCAGAAAAGACTTGTTAGATGCTCCAATGATCCAAATAATGTCAAATTTAGCATCAGAAATCATGGAGGCCAGAAGGAAATGAACATTTTCAGGAACTGAAAAAACAAAAGTCAACCCAGAATTGTTTACCCAGTGAAAATGTCCTTTAGGAACAGAGGTGAAATCAATACAGTTCAGATAAAGGGGAACTGAATTTGTAATTACGCATTTGCTGGGAGAGCCCCCTTGGTTAACATAACCAATCCTCATTTTCTGCCCTCCTTCAAGAAAGTGAGTGGTCCCTTTGGCCCCAGACTTTGCCCTATTCCATTTCCAAATAGGAATTTCACACAGGAGGTGCTTAAATTAATGAAACGAACAACACTGCTGAACCCAACAGACATTTCTTGCAGCTTAACTTGTTAGTAGGCATTACCCAAACAAATACTGTCTGTGTCATTTATCTGTCAGAGGTTAGGGGACTGTCTCTCCAGTTCCTAAACTGTGCATGGAGCTTCCCTGGGAACCACAGCAAACTCACCAGGGAACTGCAGGGTTTTTAGGGTTTTTTAAAAAAGATTTTATTTATTTATGTTTTAGAGAGAGGGGAAAGGAGAAAGAGAGGAAGAGAAACACCGATGTATGAGAGAAACATCCACTGGTTGCCTCTTGCATGCCCCCAACCTGGGACCCTGCCAGCAACCCAAGCATGTGCCTTGACTGGGAATTAAGCTGGAGACCTTGCAGTTTGCAGGATGGTGCCCAACCTATTGAGTCAGCAGCGCCTTTCTTAGATTTTGTGAGAGAAGCACAGCAATGTGCAACGTGTGTTGCCCACAATCCAAACTTAAGGTAGTCATAATTTCAACATGAACTAGATTGCACATCGCACCACACCGGGAAGAGAAATTCCAATGTCAGGAACTCAGGCATAGGGCACATCTGTTTGAAAGCAATTAGGATATGACGTTTTCAGTTGGGCAGAACTGATTTTGGAACACTCTGAAATGTAGAGAAAATATTTGGTATTTCTACACAGTTGAGCAAATTTTATGGAAACTTGAAAACCTAGTTAAAAGCAAGCTCTAGAAGATAAATTACAACTGTACAGATAATGGAAACTCAAAAGACTTATGTAACTTTGGAGATGTTTGTTCACATTTCAAGTTAGGGTGAGAAAGGGACTTTGGAGCTGTCTCCTGATTGTAAAGATGGTGACACTGGCCTTGTGTGGCTCCTGGAGAGGTTTATTTACATTAGAAAAGGGTTAGTGAGAAGACCCAGGATTCTTTTACGTAGTATTGTCTTCAAGGAGTAGAGGTATTTTTTCTCTTCTTTTACTTATTTACTTTTAAGATTTTATTTATTTATTTTTAGAGAGAGTGGAAGGGAGGGACAAAGAGAAAGAGAAACATCAATGTGTGGTTGCTGCTCCCACACCTGCTCCGGGGAAGCTGGCCTGCAACCCAGGCATGAATGTGCCTTCAATTTTGTACCTGAATGCATAATTCTTTTCACCCGGCAGAGAGATACAAGCAGCTTTTCTTCCCCCTCCTCTTCCCTTGACTGTGAATTGAACTGGTGACCCTTTGGTTAGCAGGCTCATGCTCAATCCATTGAGCTACACCAGGCAGGGCTCTGCTTTCTTTAGATGGGAAAAGAACTGCCTTTTTTTTCCCCCCTAAATGTTTCAATTTATTTTCTCAGCATTCCTCATTTGTGCAGGATGCATGTAGGGTGTGACAAATAGTTCTCACGGCCTCTCTCCAAGGGTAGGAGTTGGAACAACAGGAACCAGGACAATTATTCTTACGTAAGTGAAGGGCACCAAAGTTTTGCCATTCTCAGGCTGCTTTTTGGAACATTGGTTGTTAAGCTATTAAGAAACAAGACTCAGAATGAATCTTTGACCCTTCCCCCTTTCCTGCCTAAGAGGTTCAGACAAAGAAACCTGCTTCAGGAAGACCTTAGAATGACGCCGCAGCCTCATTTGAGTTAAGAATGGCTAAACAAGAGGGCTTCAGGCAGGTGGGCGCCTGCAAACTAGACACCCACTGTGTGCCGCTGTTCCTGAGTTGCCAAGCAAGAATTTTCCTGCCTGTATGTTCTGCTCTTACTCAACTGTCTGTAAATCGCCCGTTCTCACTTCTAAAATCTGCTGCCTGCTTCGCCACGTTTGTTCTATGTCCAAAAACATCTTAGATGTCCCATGTTGCCTCACTGTCTGGAATTTTCACACCTATGTGAATTCTCTGTGTACATTTTTTAAACTTTATTTTCTCCTTTTAATCTCTATTAATTTGATCATTTGTCCAGCCTAGAAGAACTTAAGAGATGGGAGAAAAAATATTAATATTTTCTAGGCGCCACGTAAACAATCATCATCTGTCTCTGATGTGTGCAGTCGGGCGAAGAGGAATCTTAAAAACCCAACAAAAGTTGACCGCAGTACCCACCACAGGTTGATTCTATTATGAATGAAACATAAGGCACAAGAAATGTTCAGGTGTTGGAAGTACTGAAAATACAATTCAAAATATTGCTTCCTACTCCATAAACCAACATCTTGTTCTCATGTTTGGAATATGTATTACTTTACAAATAATCTCAGAGCCAAAATTCCCCTATTCCAGCCCTTAGTGAAAAAGATTTCCAGTGACACAGTACTGTGGGAACTAAAAGAATCACATGTTTTTCCATTTGCCTTTCCTTCTAATGGAAACTATTATCTACACTGTTCTAAATAGAACCAACCCTCTTGATTAATAAAACATTGTGCAGTTTATGTCTACACTTTACCAGATATGTGGTTTATATTACCAAATAAATAAATTACAGCTTTAACTATAATAACTGTTTCTAAAATAAATTACAGCTTTTTAATTAAGCTTCAAATGCAGCAAACAATCTCTGCTATATCAGACCCTCCAGCATTTAGTTTAATATTT